AACATAATTATAATATCCATACAAATAAACCTAATGAAACATAATTAATTTGCATACAAACATAATTAAAATATCCATACAAATAAACCAAATTAAACATAACCGTTCAAATAAACCTAATTAAACATAACAGTATGAATAAACCTAACTAACACATGGATTCTACAAACCTGCTGCAACTCTAGCCTATCTCCACTACCAGTAGTGTATGTCTCGGATTGTGTAATCACAGTCATTATCTATGTGATGTAAGCCCAGGCACTAAAATACTCTCTATTGCCTCACAACACCGAGGACATGGCATCCCATAGATGTAGTCTACTGATGGACTATCAATGACCTAGTTCTGCCTAAATCTCATGCAATACTGGATACCAGCTGTCATCCTCTGGCCCATCGCTTCCACGAAGTCCCAGGCGTACCCCGGTCGCTTAATAGCTTGCATGAGAATGGGTTGTAAGCCACATGTAGCATAGGTGAAATCATAGAGCAAAATCTACAAGCGAACAAACAAAAAATATCAGGAAACGCTCATATAATAATAAGAATAATAAACATTACTCTCATATCATACAGGACGTACCACATCCATATGGTTGAATGCCGCATGACTCTCGCTTACTCGCGGGACATCGATGTGGACGCCTATCTTGGTCGACGACTGTCGTCCAGTCTGCACGATGTCCTGGCACACCTCATTATTGTACCTAATGGAGATGTCGAAGGCGAGACTGCACGTCCATAACTCGCCACCTCCATCATTCACGACCACACTTATCGTCGTCTCGAAGATGTCCACACACCCCGAACAGCCATAGTGCTGCTTCTAGACACTTGACTGGCTTTATAGTCTGTGACAATCATGTTATGAATGAATGTATATATGCAAAAATTATATTAGCACGCAAAACTTAAAATATTCCATATTATTGATGGGTCTGAGTGACGCGGAACGGCCATATCTAGCGATTGCGCGAATGGAAGATCGCTAGGGTGGAAACATGGTTCATGTGGCTTGGGAAGTCTGCCGCCATTCATCGTAACTAAAAAAACTAAAAAAATATCTCAATAAATATAGAACCCCCACATAAATATACCATGCAACGATATATATTAGAGAAACATATAAAAAATAAATCATCAAGATATATATATATATATATATATATGCATGCCAAGTAAACTTAAATATTTTGCACATAATTTTTTTAACGATTATTAACTCTCATCAAGAAATAATGTTGCTAACAAAGATCTAGAAAACTATAAATGTTTAAGGTTATGTACAAATGGTGTATAAATAAAAATAAAATCCACCACTATTATTTCTAATTAAAAAACCATATATTTCTATGCTTATTACTAAACCATGAAATGATCTACATTATTAGCAATGAAAGATTAGAAGATGAAGTTGCTAACCTTTAGAAGATTGAAGATAAAGCCGGCGGCCGAGAGCAAGAACTTGCTCCCCCAAGCAAGAACATGGATGAACACAGGCGCACAAGTAAAGACCAAAGATTTGACCTGTGTCTCGGGCTTGGAGGACAGTGTGGAAACGAGTATATATAGGTGGTGACCTTTAGTCCTGGTTGGTGGAGCCTACTGGGACTAAAGGATCAACCTCTAGTCCCGGTTGGAGCCTAAACCTAGGATAAAAAGCCAGCGGAACCTTTGGTCTCGGTTGGTGGTTCCAACCGGGATTGAAAGGCAATCTTTAGTTCCAGTTTGAACCATAGACCGGGACTAAAGGTCCCTGCTGCAAAAGTCTGTTGCATTATTCATTGGGCACGGGATTCTAGTTTTGATTGGTAGTTTCAACTGGGACTACATCTCCTATTACTCTCGGACCAAATTTTGGCTAGAACTAAAGCCAAAAATCAAAAGTCTGTTCTATACTAGTGTGAGCCTTCACGACTCCCTGAGCCTGGCCACACTTCAAGAACCCATCCTGCCCCAGGCTGCTAGCAGAGGGTTGCGGGCACTCAGGCGACGCTAGTTGTTAGCACAGGCAGCATGGTTGGCCGTCGGCGTTGGCTGCGAGTTCATGGTCGCACGCTCACAAGGCCGGCGCGAGGAGCGGCAGCTTCGAGGCGGCCTCTGTTTTTAATGCAAATAATGGGTGGGGCTAAGATAGATGAGGGGTTAAATGCAAAATTGCAGACACAATCGTTACAATGACGTGCCACGTCAGATAAAATGCCAACATGGCCGACATGGACCGGTGGTGCACCGTTAATAAGTTTAGTGACTCAGAAATGCATTTCTTAGGTTCGTAGACCCAAGTGACACCCTTGACAAGTTTAGGGACCGTTCATGCATTTAACTTATTTTACAATGGTTAAAAAAAACATGGACCATTCATTGCACGAGATCGAATGGTGGAAAAATAGGAAGTATCCAACTAAAAGTACACGTAGGTACCAAATAGATGGGGATAGTACCAAATTAGATGGGACGGGTTCCAAAATATGTAGAGCAATATCTTTTTTTATTTTTCATTTTAGTTTCAAATAAGGTAAATCAATCATTCTAGTACTGTCTTCCAGGATAAAAATGGGATTTTCCACGTTCTGTCAATTCACGAGGTAACATTACCACCATCTCTGACGTCCAATCCAGATCAAACGGCTCCCATCGTTTCCAAGCAAATTTTCTAGGACTTAGCTTTTTCAGCGTGTCTGCCCCATCTATCCGCTCGCAGTCTGTGCCAGCACCTGGACATGTCACATGTACTCGTGCACCAGAATCATCTCGCTGCGTTCGTCGCCATAGCCGATGATATAGCCAGGAGAGCAGCTCGATCTCCATGCGAGACTTTAGCATTTTACCCATCATGAGAAACTGGTTTCGCAGCACTTTTACCATCTCACAAAGTGGTTTCGCTCGTTTGTCATTATGAAACTGGTGTAACCCGTTGAAATATATTTTGACGAGGTCCTTCCACTTCTACCCCTGCCTGCTTTCTCCTCCTGCGGCTCACCTGGTCGCACTCGCCGCACGGAGCCCCGACGCTCTCCTTCGCCAGCCCCACCGCGTCGTCCCCTGCCGTCCTCCTCCGCCGCCGCAAGGGCACCTGCTGCCTCCCCTCCTCCTCCTCCTCGGCACACAACCCCCCGCTTCGCCCTCTTCTGGGACCTCACCATAGCCCGGTACGACGGCGCGGCCTCGTCCTCCTCCCTGTCCTCGTCCCCGGAGCCGGTCTCTGGGTTCTACGTCGTCGCCGGCGCCGGCGCCGAGGTGGTGCTGGCCGTGGGCGACCTAGCGGCGAAGTTCGTCAAGGCCAAGTTCGAGGGCCAAATCCCACGGGCACGCTCCATCTGCCCCGTGTCCCGCGCTGACCGCGTCATCGTGGCGGCGGCGCCGGGGCAAACGCCGGGCACCGCGGTGCACACCACGCGGGTCCGGTTCGCCGAGGGCGCGCCGGAGCACGAGGTCGCCGTGGGCTGCTGCCGCGCCTCCGCCTCCGGCAGGCCCGGGGAGGAGGAGCTCTGGGTCAGCGTCGACGGCAAGCGCGCCGTGCACGCGCGCCGCCTGCGCTGGAACGTCCAGGGCAACCAGACCGTGTTCGTCGACGTGCTCTGGGACCTCCACGGCTGGTGGTTCCAAGACCCGCCCGGCTGCGCCGTCGTCATGCTCCACGCCAGGAGCGCGCTCGAGAGCAGGCTCTGGCTCGAGGGATCCGTTTTGACCACGAACGAGGAACGGTGCAGGCAGGGGTAGGAATGGAAGGACGTGTCTTCTTTTTTTCACGAATTAAAACTATCTAAAATGTATTTCAGCGGGTTACACCAGTTTTATAATGGCAAACGAGCGAAACTAATTTGCGGATCAGTAAAAGTGCGAAACCAGTTTCCGATGACGTGTGAAATGCCAAGTCTCCCTCCATGCGGACTCGATCAGCCCATGCTGTGACTGCCAGTTGCCGCGCTCTACGCCTGCTCCGCCGCCATCCACCATGCATGTGGCTTCGCGAATCTGCATGTCGTCTCTTGTCTTGCAGCGCCACTAAGGGGAACTGGTACGCGGCGTCGGCGCTCTGCTCGAGCGCGAGAGAAAACCCAACGCGCTCGCCGAGAACGCGGCCTAGGTGCTCCGGCGGCTTCTTCCTCCGTCGCACCCTGATGACAATGAGCACGAGATGCATCACTATCGTGCGTCTTCTAGTGGAAGGTGGGCCGCGTGAGGAACACCGACGGGGATTGGGTCGCCGTGGCCGTGGAGCAGCAGTCGCGCCGCGGAGTCACCCGTCCGTCGCGGCCGAGAGCGAGAGGCTGGAGTGGCCGAGCGGGTGCGAGAGGGGAAGAAGAGGATTTTTTTTGTTGTTGTTGGGTTGGGTTGGGCCTGCCAGGCCACACTCAGCCCACAACCTCAATCACTAAAATACCATCTATAATATATTTCTTAATTAATTACTTAGAAAATAGAAAATGACGAAAGTATATGAAGGTACCATGATACTTTTTCAACCATTGTAAAAGATATATAGCATCATTGCTTTCTTAATCGATTGGTGCAACTCGAGTTGAAGAATGCGCCCTAACCCTGCTCTTGATGCCCGTTTTCAATTTCCATGCTTTCCCTTTGTCATCTAAAGCGATGAGAATGACACCGCAACGACTTAGCTTTAATCACGTCGTTTAATAACATACACTAATCTCTCTTCTTTCCACCACCTTGTCACGCGTCCGAAATCCAGCAAAATCTGAGGAAACTTTTCTGGTTTTACACATATCAGTTAGAGAACAATCTTTGCAACTTTACAAGATCTGCCTTTAGTTTAACACGTAATGCGTGATGCGTGAACAGAACACATCCTCTGAAATTAAACCTCTTGTCCTACCTATACACTCATCATCTTTTCCACCCACTCAACTCAAGCAAACGCATTTATCCAACCTGAAACCAACAACCGCGCATGTACACCTCAAACGACCGATATCTACACATGCATGCAGCAGCAGCACACAGATCAACTCTCCTACTCCCTACTCATTTCGTTAGTCACCAGCATGCAGGTAACTGCAGTTTCCTGCTATGAGATGCTGATAGCAGTGGCGGTGGCGGCTCTCGATGGCTCCAAGGCGACGCACTGCACCAGCCCACACAGCATGCTCACCTCCGGCCTGGTCGCTCGCCGCCGCCTGCGGCTTCTTGCCATTGTCACCGTCGTAGTCATCAGACGCCGCCGAAGATTCAACAATATCGCAGCACTCCTCGAAGCGGTAGCAGGTAACGAGGTGATCGTTGGCCATGCCGACCGCCTGCATGAAGGCGTACACCACCGTCGGCCCGACGCCGAGGAACCCCCGCCGCATCAGGTCCTGGCTGATGGCGTCGGCCTTGGCTGTCCGCAGCGGCACCTCCCGCGTGTGCCGGTATCCGCCAACCATTGGCTTGTTGCTCATGAAGCTCCAGCAGTAGCTGTTGAACGATCCGAACTCGTCGATGACCTGTGAGCAGCAGCGTATGTAGTTGCAGGAAAAAAAATAAGAGGTCGATCATTAAGTGTTACGGATGAATGAACAGATATTAATTGTTGCTAATAATGTTTCGGCTCACCAAAATTTAGGTGCGGGGCAGATGGATAGGATAGAATGGCATGCATGATCACCTTACCTTCAGCAACTCACGTGCGTTTTCAATGATTATGCGCAGCCTGTGTTGCGACAGCAGGGAGCTAGTAGGGCTGCATGGCGCCAAGAACTTCTTCTCGTTCAGCTTTGCTACCAACTGAGGGTCAAAGTTCATGAACACTTCCCTGTGGAGTGTAATTGCTTGTGAGTTTGAATTAGGACATCTGAGATGTTTTGGTGAGCATGCAGTTAAAATCTTTAGTGCTGTGTGTGATGAGTGCTTTAATTACCTGAAGGTGTCCCTCTTGCTGAGAATTGCAGGCCATGCCATCTCAGCCAGTGCACCAGACACAGTCAGCATTTCGAACAGTTTCCTGCAGTTTAGGACTAAAAATTGTAACTTTTCAATCCATTGCTGATCATACATCTCAGGAGGAAAAAAAAAAGATTAGCTGATCTGATCAGGTTTAGAGCATACTTGTCGTCATGTACTGGAACTCCCCACTCTTGGTCATGGAAGGCAGCGTAGCAGGGATCTGTTGCCAGGTCAAATCAATGAATTCCTTACAGTCAGCTGAAAGCAACTGGCCATTCTAGGAGAAGGCTGAATACCTTCATTAAAGGTTTTCAGATTAGACGGCTTTACATTGGAATATTTGATAGGAAATTAAGCATTTCATTATTCCAACAAGGAACAATAGTAAGCATTTTATTCTTCTAAAAGAATAATATATATAGCATTTGAACTTATTGTTCACAGTGCTGAAACCTGAGGATAGGAGCTGACTGTATCTGTTTTTGTTCATGGAGGTAAGGGGTGCCAGCCGAACAGGCAATTAGGTGTGTGAACAAAAAGGTAGCACTGGTAGAAGCCTAGCAAGTAGGAGTAGGACTGACTGATGAGTAGGAACAAATAAGCAAAAGCTCCAAAGAACTAGTAGCATTGAAAAGATTGCAAGTATAGCAATACATAAATTATCTACAGTAATCATGGCTTCCAGTTGCTAACCGTACTGAAGAAAAGATGCAAAGTAAAGCTATGCATAAACTAAGAGAACAACAATGATTAAGTATATATCCTTGTAAAGAAAAGATCGCGATATGGTCACTACAATGCTTTTCGATCAGTAGAATTTCCTTTTCGAGGTAACACTTTTAGGTGAAATTGGAATGGAGTTTGGAAATTCAGGTCCAGTTAATCATGTATTAATTCAGAATGTCGTCATACTTTTTTATTGTCCATTGGGCGCCTAAAATTGATTATATTCTATCCAGTAGCCAACTTGGCAGATTGATTACTCTGTGTTTAATTGCAAAAGGCACTATTGCCACTTTATATTCAGTTCGTACTTCAGAGTTTAAACAGTTGCAAGTTTAAAAGGGTTGGATGAACTACGTTTTCATAAATATAGTACTTCTATTCTATCATGTAGTTAGTGTGTAATGGAATCCCTTTGGAAGATAAAAATTGACAAGTTGCTCGATAACCGACAGCCCACCAAACATCTCAGTGCATCTTTTTATTGTATTTTTTATGCCACCAAACATCTACTGTGATGTCATATATGATCTAACCGTCATATATCGATTGTCCAAGATGGCCGAGGCGTCTTATCATGCATTGCATGGTCACAAAACATCTTGTATTCAAAGACATAGTGTCATCCAGTGAATGTAATTTACTTATTTACCCTAGGAGCAGTCAATACAACTCTCTTTATTTACCGTCGGAAAAAAACGTGAAAAGCCTATGCTAATGAAACTATAGCCTCTGCCTGCTGGCTCTAGCGGCGCCATTTACATTTGGAGAGAGAAGAGAAGGAAAGGTCTAGCATCTCTAAATTCTTAAGATGGAATAACATTTTTTTTTTAGATTACCCACAAAGAATGAGAATCAAATGTGTTTTTTCCTAGTTATGAGAAAAGACAAGGACAGGGCCAAACATCAACGTTTTAGCAAGTGTCAATTTCCATATGAATAGTTTTATATCGTCAACAAACAACTCGGTCTTCAATCCTAAAAGTACCATGACAATTATATACAATAGTTTAGCAAACATCACAAGTGAGAATGAAGCACTCATAAATCATAATCCAACTTTGAAATAAAGAAAATAAATTGGAAAAATATCTAAGGGCTATATATGGCGGAGTGGGTTTAGCTTCGGATTGTAGGTAGAAATAGAATCTTTTGAGAAACTGACATAATTTCATGAAAACGAGGTATAAATATAATTAGAGTTATCTAAACTCTAAGATATCATAGTCTTCCGGCCAAATATGAATATCCTAGTGTAGCAAACACAGCATAGGTATTGGTCAGTCACCAAACATATATTTTAAGAACTGATATAAATAGCAGGCACCTAAATTGGAGCTAAGGACAAGAGCAGAAAGTGGATTTAATTTGTTGTATACCCAATCATTACTCAACCAGATAGATTAGGGAAACTCAACCAGCACCTTGTGTGTGCGGCACTGCCCACACCAGTTATAACTTATAACTGACTGAATACTTCGCTTCGAGATTTTTTTCGAAAGGTCGGCAAAGAGCTTTATTATTTATCGAAATATATGTATAGGTAGAGCAATTGAAGCACGAAAGAGCACACATGGTTATGGAAATACCACTAGAATAAACTAGTCACATTTTCTCAAAAAACATGTGCTCTCTCATTATCTAGATGTATGTAACATTGTACGTATGTTTTTTCCTCTATTATAACTTACTGTATTATTTTTTTAGTCTAGTATATAATAATAATAATCTAAGAATATAGATGTCTATCATGACAAAGGTGTAAAGCAGTCGTTTAAAGCTTGTAAGTATGCTGTCGTAGGTCTTGTATACAATACAGTACTAGTAAATATTGTATAGTCACTTATTTTGTCTTGACCTTACCGAAAATAGCCATAAAGCGCATGATTTGATTTGACCACCTACCAGTGTTAGGGGTAACCCAGGGGCATCTCGGCGGCCCCACTGACGCCGCGGTGGGTTCTCCGTTCAACAAGCCCACCACCGGCGGCACCACCACCTGAACTTGAACAGTGGCCGCCGCTGCACCGCCTGGCACGACGACGCTGCTGCTACTAGCAACCTTCCTGCTGGACGCCGCCGGCCGCGCGGAGGGAGGGCCGGCAGAGCCCGCCGCCCTCCGCCGTGGAGCTCCCACGGGCGGGGCCGCCGGGCGGCGGCCGATCCGGCCCGTGGACGCCCGGCTGCAGAAGGACTCGGTGGACGCCTCCGACGCGCACGACACGCTGAGCGAAGACGACGGGTGCACGTAGCTGCTGCTGCTCCCCCGCCCACCGGCGGCGCCTGCGGCGCGGCGCAGCAGCATGGACGCCGCGGCGCCCCTTGTTGTCGGGGACGGGGACGGGGCCGACGACGACGGCAGCAGCCTCCTCCTAGCGGCCTTGTCAGCAGCGTCCTCGCGCTGGGGAGGAGGCTCCTTGTTGTCCCTGGACCCGGGTGGCTTCGGAGACTGAGACGACAGCCTCCGGGCGGCGCCGGGCGCGCGGGGAGCCACGGCCGCTGCCGACATGGCGCGGTGTGGAGCGAGCTACTATCTAGCGAGGCGTGCCTGTGCTCTCTCGTTCGCGCGCGTAAAGTGAGCTTGTGACGACGCGAGACGCGTCGTGTGAGCGAAAGCGAGAGACGATCGGAAGGGCGAGAGCAGGTGATGAGCCGGTTAACACAATCACCAACGACAACACCAAAACATACACTCATTCGACGTTTGGTAACGTACAGTTAAATGGTTTAATAACTATTCAATATCTTTTTCGATAACGGGTCTTAAAAAAAATTATTTTTACAGATAGATTTATAGAAAAAGGATATTCATATTTTGATCGTGCCTCTTAAATAATTCAAAATAAATCTTATATATAAATACTCTCTTAGAGGCTAATTTTAGGTTTCCTACCGCTTCCATATAAACCAGCCATTGGAGACAGTCTGGTAGCGGCCGCAGCGTGTTGTAGGCTTGTAGCAGAGTGGCGGGGGCGCGGCTGGCCCCCCTGTACATTGTACTGGTACGTCGTACGCGTACAGGGCCGCGCCGCGCGCGGTGGTTGGGAGTGGGAGACTGGGAGGTGCAGTGCAGGTGCCCGCGGGAGGATCGGAAAAGGAGGGGTGATGTGATGCGGACGCGCGCGCGGTAGGTGCCACGTCGAAACCGTCGTCGTCATGGGGAGGGAGCTATACAAACCTTTGATGCCGCAGTTTAATCACGCCGTGCGCCGGACCGCGCGCGATTAGCTCGTCAGGTCATCAGCACGCAGCAGAGACGTGCATAGAGAGATCATATCCTTCGGCGCGGCGCCGGCCGGCCGGCCGGGCGCCGGCGCCATTCACGAAAGTGACGAGACCACGCCATGCATGGTCGGAGCACGTCCGCCAGGTGCAATATATGAACCGATCGAGCTGCCCGTCCGGTGAGAGTAGTGTTAGACGAGACGAGACCAGTGGTGCTTGTACGATCGAGCGGAGATGAAAACTCGACCTGGCCGGACGTCTGTGTCGCCAGACGGTGCAAGCACAGAGATTCTGATCGATGAGATTCATGGCCTGTGCGTTTTGTATATGTTGTTGTTTACCTGACCCGGCTGCTACTGCAGATCGATCGAGTTGGTGCACCCTGAAACAGTGTTGACGAAAGACCGGTGACCGAATTAGCTGTTCATGCATATGTTATCTACTGATAGCCTCCATAGGAGCCTCTGATGATATTCCTTGTCAAAGACTTATTTTCAATCTGATGATCTCATGCAAAATTAATTCCTCTCACAGCTGCTCTAGCCTCTAGCAACAATGCAAGGTTGCCAAATAAATATAGAAATGCAACACACCAACCGAGTGTTTTAGGGGAGATCCGCACGCGATTCCTGGCGCGTCTAATTCGCACGGGGACGGCGGTGGACGCTGTCCAATTCGCGCCCGCATCCGTCATCTTCTTCCCTAGCTCCAGCGTGGCGGTGGCAAGACGAGGTAGGCGGCGGCCTCCTCCTCCTGGATCTGTGTCCACCGAAGACGAAGACGACAGCGGCAGTGGCTAGGGTCCCGACGAGCCAATCCCCCTCTTTCTTCTCTAACTCCCGCGGCTATAGAAGGGGCCAACCGGGGGAGGCAGGTAGGTGCAGGCAGTGAGGATGGTGTCTAGGCGTTTAGGGGGCTGGCGGTGGTAGGGTCGACCGGGCCAAGTCAGGGCGGGGGAGCGTGGCCGTTCACGCAGAGAGTTGGAGAACAAAGCGGCGGCAGGAGGAGGCAGCCTCGGGCGTGGTAGGGCGGCGAAGCTCCGACCATGCCATACCGTGCCACGGTAGGGCGGTGGGCGGCGGCGGGGAGAGAGAGGGAAGATGAACAGTAGAGGGGAATCTGAGTGTTGAAACACTGGGTTGTTAGTAGATAGACAGACTCAATAAATAATGAACAGATTTTCTATCAGATTAGGTGTTTGACTACTTATTCATTGTTGTATACACACACATTTTATATGGCAGTGGCCGACATTAATGGAGCATCATTCTAAAAGAGTAACACACCTTCCGTTTGTTGTATTCTCTCTTATATATATAGTATACTATACCCCGTCCCATATATATCACAACAATATCAGTTTTGGTACGTGTAATCATAACCCGAAGTTGTTACATACTCTTTTAGTAATCAATCATGGTGGATCCCCTTCACCAGCTAGATAGCTTTCCATACAAAACATGGAGCCATGGAGACTTCCATGCGGACCAGCCAGGAAACGTAACTCCTATACCATCATATCCAACACGGTTCCGTACGTACCGTAATAGTTGTGCACACATCTCTGTTTGCTCACCAGTAGAGAAGTGGACAATAGTCATGGTTGGAAATTGTCTTTAGTCCCGCCGGTTTAAACCGGGACTAGGGATCTAAGGCAACCAGAAGTAAAAGTTCTCCAAAGCTAAAAAAAGAATAATGCCTTCCCACCTCTGCGGCCCGTATGATTCGAATCTAAGACCTAATGCATGGTCTCGCGTGTACCTTTCGACCCCACCTACATAGCACATGTGACCTTGGGTGGGATGCTTTTCTTTTGAACTAGCCTATCGGAAGACCTTTAGTCCGGGTTGGTAACACCAACCGGATTAAAGCTAAAAAACACCAATCGAATAATGACTTCCTTGGACCGAGGACTACCCTCCAAGGCTAGCCGAGACTAATGTCTTTGAATCGATTCGTTCTCTCAATTAGGTACAGTATGAGAAATGTTGACTTAGAAACATCTAACGTGGCAATGTGTACTCCATCAACTAGCGTTCAGCAACCTAATGCTATGAGTTATTTGACACCGGACAAATGACTCGTTCTTTTCTTGGCCCTCAAAAATTTCCTTCCCTATTTGACACCGAGTTCAACTTTCGTTTATACGACACTTTTGCCATCCGTGAACTCCGTCATGTGGGCCCCACCACCCTTCTCCCTTTCTCCCTTCTCCGACGCCTCGCCCGAGGGCTGCGAGAGGATGGACATGCACATGTGACCTTCGGCGAGCGGCAAGGCCGGCGATATGGATGCGCCATCTTTTTGTGCGACGGGGGCTAGGGGCGCCTCTACTACGCTCTCGAAGACGCTTTAGTCGGCCGGTTGATAACACCAACCGGGATTAAAGGGTCATTTAGTCCGGGTTGGTAACACCAATCGAGACTAAAGGGAGCGTTGCGGATCGCGCCGGGCGACATCGTCTGAAGCCCTCAACCCTCGGTCAATGTCGAGTAGATGCATGGCGTGGCTGGAAACTTGGACCGGGGCTCTATGCAGCTCGGCATGGCTCTTGTCATGCCCTTGCGGTCCAAGGCTAGCGAGACTAATGTGCTGAACCGAACACCGACGCAGACGTTCTCTACTCTGCGCGCGGTGGTACAGTAGCGACACGTTAAGGCCATGAGAAATGTTGACTTAGAAACATCTAACGTGGCAATGTGTACTACATCAACTAGCGTTCAGCAACCTGCGCTAACTCTGACTGATGATAAGCTATTTATCGAGCACGCATCTGAGTACGGTCCTCCCACACATTTTAGTTGATCCGGTCAAACCGTCAGAACAAAACGCACTAAAAAGCGCATAAAAATTCTGACAGAAGAAATATTAGAGACAAATTAAACAGTGCTACCATATATTACCATCTACTACTGTCGGACAAAGCTTTAGCCCGCACAAGATGGCAGGTGCATACTCATTATTCATGTGATGACCATTATTGCAACAACCCACTACTGGTTTTTGTTCCGAAACATGTGACAATTGCAACCCGCTAAAAAAACTCACAAAGTCACATCTCATCTTACCACTAAAAGAGTAACGGCGTTGAATCCTAAAAAATACGAGGAACCACGTCAAGTCGATAATTTAAACCTGAATGGACAGTTTTCACCTCAAGCCAACCAACTAAGCTACGCTCAGTTTGCTCCCACTATTGTTAATGATATGGATTCTTCTTTTCACGTCTACGTGTATTTGTATTCTGGCTCAAATTTTAATTACATGATGGTTGACAATAGCATAATATTTGCATTCAGCTTTTTGTATTCAAATTTCATAAATGTTCTAATGCATTTTATAATTGTGGGGTCACCCGACAAACTAAGGCCATGTTCGCTTCTCTTATAATCCGTCTTTTTCAGCTTGTTTTTTCAGCCAGAAAATGTTTTTCTCTCACAACAAATTAGCCGGAATAATATTTCGGCTTGTTTCTTCAGCGAAGCGAACAGGGCCTAAAGGCCACCAGGAGCACCATATACGGATATACCCAATTCTCATTTTCATCAGCTTTCTAAATGATATGAGATTTTAGGATGTACTTCCTGTAGTTCTAAAATTATAAGTTGTTTTGGTCTTCTAGACACATAACTTTTTTCATGCGCCTAGATATGCGTTAGATAATTTAGATACATAGCAAAAGCTATTGTATATAAAAAAACCAAACGATCTGTAATTTAGAAAGGAAGAAGTAGCTAGGAACCCACTGAATTCCTATATACATTGTTTTCGTGAAATTCATGCACACCCACTAAATTCCTATATACATTGTTTTCGTGAAATTCATGCACTCCAAATAGAGGGCGTGAGTATGATATGGTTTGACAAAACAACGGTAACAGTTGTTCGCTTTAACTTATCAGCCATGAAACAGTGTTAACTCTTACAACAAGTCAACTTCAGCCAGCTTATCAACCGCAGAAACCATCAACCTTCAAGCGGGTTCCTAACAATAGTACAAGTCAAAGCAAGTACTTCTAGGAGCAGAATCAATTAGGCTAACTTTTCCCATCAGTTAGTTCATCCGTCTTAAAATGGTGGCTTAGTTTAACCCTGTACATGTGTTTAATAATAGGGAATCTACACACTATCATATCATACCCTAGCTAGTTACCTAGTAGCCGTACAGATGCCATGGATTTGTATGAAATTTTCAGGCGAACGGTTGGTGGTGCAGCTACTTATTATATATCCATATTGGTGGCCTAAGGTGGCTGTAGCCTTATTATATGCACAGGTTGGGGCATTTTTTTGAAACAAGTATACTCAATTTGGAATGGATATATATATACACGTACAAGTAGAAAGGTACCGACATGTTCCTTCTCCCACTTCGCAAGCAGCCTGTTCTTTCTCTTGTTGGTCATTCTGTGTTTTATAAGACGGAGAGCAGGTGAAACGTAAAGCCATTCAACGACTGATGTTGACAAACAAATGGCAGGCTTTCTTTCCCTTTTTCTTCTGTCCATACTCCGGCCACTAGCACCGCATTGTACTTTTGTCAGACGAGCAAAGTTTTGTTTGACCTCATATATTTCCATATGGCAATCGGCATTGTCAAGCGTGATAGAAACATCCCTACAGAACGTATTAAGGTGATAGCAACGGTTCTCTAATCTGCTCATGGACCTAAATTGCATCGCCAACATACAAACTCCTTGTACCTGAAGATGATATCAAAGTCATCTGGCCCATCCCCATATACCGCCTTTTTAACTGTTGAAACCCACAAAAAAAATGTCATGTCCGTACGAAGAACGTTGAAAGGTTTTAAAGCTGGTGTGCGATACGCGCAGATAAGAATGAATACTTACGATGCACAAGTAAAAAATCTCAACAAAGTTAAGGCAACCTGGTACACCAGTATGTTTCAATCGCTCCACAGCTAAAATACAAGCAATTAGTATTTTTGAAAGATGCCACACATTCAATTAAATCAGTTCACTTTGCGGCTGTAGAGCCGTCTCCACAAGTGCAAACATGATAAACCAACTCATTCTGCAGAAGAGCGTTGACTCTTCATAGCATTCGAAAATGGCACCTGCAAGAACCAGAAACCAACTTGGAGTTAACAAAGTCATCAGCAAGGGAACAAGAAGGATCTTGTAGCTTGTTCACGAGTAAACAAATAAGTTTGCCAGCTAGCTATCATTTGCTTTGATTCCAGGTGTTGAGACATTGGCATCAGATGGCGAAAATAAGTACAGCAAAACAAACAAAGAGCAGACATGGAAGAGGCAGCTGTCTTACTAATCGGTGGTCTAGTAGTTTATAGCTTGGTATGAATTTTTTGAAGAATAGCATATATCTTTGTCAATCAAATCCTACAGCATTACTAACTAATACTCGTTTTTTAGTGTTAAGATAAAATAGTACCCAAAAAATCTACTTGCTGCAAGTTGTAAAAGGTGTGCATTGTCCAATGTTGCTAATCTTCCAAGTTTATAGCGTCATTCCAATTCCCTCTGCAAGTCTTTAAGAATCTAACTGAACAAGTTTTGTGAAAAGTTATATTTTTGAAGGGGTATCAAAAGGAAACTATAGGGATCTGACAACCATTCTGCAGCGCAATAGAGCTAGCGATCTCATACTTGGGACTCTACATGTCACATTTATCTGGTATCAACTTGGTAGCATTAAATTGGAAGACTTGCAGCTTCCACATATGATTTCTAAACAAGTGGACATGACTAACTGGAAGACCTACCATGGCAATCAAAGCAACCAAATAAACACATAACTAGAAGACACACTTCAAAAGGGCTGTTCAGCTATGAAATTTTGTATTGACTAGAAAGATGCTAAAAGGATTGATGCCCACTACCCAGATATAGTAAAACTTACCCAAGAAGTCCTCTTCCATGCCACTTTCTTGGTGTAATTGTTAAATTCATTGCTGATCCCTGGCGAATGATGACTAAAGATACTTGACTGTCCTCATTGGAAAGAGCTTCAGAGATGAGCCTTTCCTGCAATTGATCACAAGCTTCCACATTCCCAAACTTTACTATCTCATCTCCAAGTTGCAAACCATCCAAAGAAGCAGGAGAACCATCTGTGATTTCATCAATCATGGCAAATGGAAGTTTGGTCACATGGTCCTCTTCCATAGGTTCACTTTGAGATGATCCAATGTGTGAAGGACCTGTTGTATCTGCATGAAATCAAATATCACAGAGATCAGAAACTTTAATCGCATTTAGTTCAACAAGTCTATGGGCCATCTTTGGTTAACTGGATGCCTCGGGTATAACACACATTTTTGCATAAACAGATAAAAAAGGGCGTACCCAGTGCAGAGAGCTCCCGCTCTGTGCGGGGTCTGGGGAAGGGTGTCAGTGGCAAGCCTTATCCTCGCCTGTGCAATACGAGGAGACCGCGACTCGAACCCGGGACCTTCCGGTCACAGGTGGTAAGACTCTACCGCTTGCACCAGGCCCGCCCTTCACATTTTTGCATAAACAGATATTTATCATAATAAGAACATGGCTATTGCAAATACTAAAATTTAAGATCATTATTATCACTTGATTTTTTTTCTAAATATTGTTATAACTTGATTATTCTATATTTCTGCCCTTACTCCTTGAAAACCATTCTCATATTGTTAATACTTTTTATTGACGATGTCACAAGTTGCAGAATTATTAAGCATATAAGGAATTCGAGTATTATAGATTTTAACCAGGCGACTGTGGTGTTCACTGAAAAAACAGTGTCATAATAGAGTAGGGGTAAAAAAACTCCCTCCAATCATGAAACTTACTGTTTTGAACTTTCATTGTTTCCAAGACACAATTTTGATGGCATTTGCGGAACTATAAAAATGAATATCCTAAAAGATCATATCTACTCAAATTATTTTACATTCCAATCTAGTCCAGATTCTTGGTATTTAAGAAGATTAAATTGGACAACGATTCAACAGATTGCGGCATGCTACCGTTAATGACATTGTCATTTGATAAGATACTGTTTGTATACTTACCAGACCTCCTCGAGGTTGATTGCTCATTCCTTGATAACTTTGCTGAGTGTAAAATCTCCAGATTTTTATCAATTTTGTTTGTAACATCCTTGTGATCATTTCGCAACTCTGCAACAAGCATCAAACAATGTAAATGGAAAGCATAATATTATACAACAACAATAACAACAAAGGCTTTTAGTCTATAGATAAAATCCAACATGAGCCACCAACAAGGAGGGAAAGAAAGAAAAGGAAATGTATTTGAAGCAGATACATAAGACAACCAATCCACATTTTTAAATACATTTAACAGCAAAGATGCTTTTCTTTTACTCTACACTATAAGCTCATGAGTCCAGCACAACCTAGTCCCTATCCTCTATCCCAATAGGCTTATACCTCGCCCACCTTTGGATGAGAATCCTAGCATTTGGTAGAAATTTATTAATTTTTCAGCTGTGGACAACAGCAAGAGCATCGCATTTGTACTCTACCAGACTGAATCATCAGGCCACAGGCTGCCTAGTGCCCTGTTAAACAGAACTGACTCTTTCAGCAACTCAAATACTCAATACACTGCCTACTGGACCAACCCATTCAATCAATTACCCTAAGATCCCCTTTTCCTGGCCCCCCCAAAAGCACCAAATTCTAGAAAGATGTGTATAAGTTGAGAAACTAAACAGCTGGTTAAATAACGCCTGTCACGAGTGAACATATAGCTAGTTAAACTGTAAGATACTGCGTCGCAAAGAAAATCGAGCACAGCAATGCATACCAGCGAGCCTCCGGCGCTGGGCGAGAACGTTCGGGATGTCGATGTCGGACCTGGGGAAACCCTAAACCAACCGAGCCAAAAACAAACAACGATTAGCGCCTAAACTGCGAAACTGACAAGAAATTTCGGGTTTAGGTTAGGGTTTTGCGGATCTTAGGGCACCTCGGCGTCGACGAGACCGCCGGTGATGCCCGGCCCACCGGGCGCGGTGAGGCGGGCGATGATGGCGTCCATCTCCGCCTCCAGGCCACCCCGCTGATCCATCAGCTTCATCGTCTCCGCCTTCACGTCCGGCGCCACCATGATCCCTCCCCCTCTCTCGTCTGCCGCCACGCAAGGAAGACTGGTTCGCGAGCCGTACTCAGCGAGTCAGCGGTCTCTCAACTCGTGTCCAAGCAAGCCCATGGACGGTTCGGTGGAACGACCGCGCACCGTTAGATCTCAAACTAACGGCTCAGATCGGATGTGTCCCTGAAACGGGCCTGGGCCGTGCGTGACGGCGGAGACGGCGCGTTTATTCCACGCCACACCGTCTCTTCCAGAACCCTCTCGTCTCCGCGTGCGGCGGCGCGATTCCTTGCTTTTCCCTTCGACTTCCAGAGATTGCTGATTGTTCTTGAGTCAGATCCGGGTAACAGATTCGAGTTTGCGCGCTCTCTTCGGCTCCAGGTACTTCCATTCGGTAACCCTAATTCCTCGCTCCAGTTCATTGCTAGTAGCAAGCACCTGTGTCGTTAGGCTAGCAGAGTGGTGGCTAATAATGCTTGTTCTTGGTAAAAGGTTTATGATTTGGTTTGCTTTTCACCTTGGTAGTTGCATACGGGAGAGAATAGTCGCTTCGATTTTGTCTTCAGGATTCTGCCAGGGGATTAGCCTGAAGGCTACGGGTTGCCACTGAACCCATAGAAGCGAAAATTCAGCATCCAAATGCTGTGTGGGGAATGGCTAGATTCTGTTTAAGAAAGGCACCCTTGCCAACCAAACAGTCTTTGAATTACGAGCACAAATAACCAAACTGTAGGAATTCCTTGGCGCCTATGGATATTTCTCATCTTTTTCGAGCAGACCATCAATAGGAGCTCTTCACAAATATGTGAAGAACGTGCCATGCTGAACCCCATCAAAGCCTAGTTTCGCTCCAATTCTAAGGTGGTTCACAATTGCACAAGCAGGACAAGTAGTAAAACAGCATGCTGATCAAGCATTGCAAGATACATGCCAAAGTATCTGGGTCTTAATATAGGATGCCTCTGTTACCAGTGGAATATCTGATAATCTAAATCTTATTGCTGACTAGAGTGAAGACGTTCCTGAACGAAGTGTAATTGGATACGATACAAATGTCTTATTATTATTGTTATTTTGTCTTCTTTGCCTGGTTACTTAAATTGCCATTGTTTATGTTTTCCTTACTTTAAGGGTGTACCCAGTGCAGAGAGCTTCCGCTATATGCGGGGTCTAGAGAAGGGTGTCAGTGGCAAGCCTTACCCTCACCTGTGCAATGCGAGGAGACCGCGACTCGAACCCGGGACCTTCCGGTCACAGGCGGTAAGACTCTACCGCTTGCACCAGGCCCGCCCTTCCGGTCTAGAAATAAAACTGTGAGTTCTTCCTATCACTCTACCAGAAGTTCTTATTCCTTACTTTGTTCTAAATTTTTTGTTTAGAGTACTTTTGACCATAAGTCCATAACTTGTCTAATGTCTAGTTTAACATCAACAACTTGAGTTGTCTGGACACTATTGACACATAGCCAAATTAGATCGGTTTTATCAGTGTCCCTGTTTGGTGACCATTTTTTCATGCCTCTGAAGAGTCTTCTATCGCTAAATGGATCCATGTTGCTGTATTAGGTTGGTTCTGGTGTATAAATACAGTATCCACTGAGAGTAATCATATAAAAAAATCTCTAGAAATTTCAATTCTGTAAAACACGTATCGCATAAAGTTTCTATTCATCAAAATCTCATGTTGTTGCCAATACAACCGTTGCCCATCCTGTATGATTCATTCATTCATTGCTGTTTCAATTCATTCCAGATATGGGGAACACTGCATCTGTGCAAACTGAGGCTTCAGATTCAGCGCAGCAACCTGCCACGACAGCTCCTGCACCTGAGACGAAGCCGAAAAAGAAGATCTGCTGCGTTTGCCCAGATACAAAGAAGCTGAGAGACGACTGCATCGTGCAGAATGGTGAGGATGCCTGCGGAAAGTTCATCGAAGCCCACCTGCAATGCCTGAGAGCCGAAGGGTTCAGCATCTGGCGTGTTGCTCCATCATGGCAACTCCACACCTGTTTCTGCAGTAATCTGATTTTGATCATGAACAGCATGATGAATAAGAACTTCTGGTAGAGTGATAGGAAGAACTCACAGTTTTATTTCTAGACCGGAAGGGGGGGAAATCCCCCTGAACATTGCCAGTTTGCAAGAGGGTTTGTCTCTTTTTCCAATGCATTCTGTGCCTCACATATCTGCAATTCTTCATGATACTTTATGGAACATTTGTATATGGAAATTGCTTTTTTAGGTCCACTGGTTGGAGATTGAGCATTACACTGTATGGAACAGATGTTGCAAAAGTTTTATAAATGAAGAAGATATTACCCACGACACGATGCTGGCTAGAGCTTTCAGTGACTTGTTCTAGTGATGTATAAATGAAGAAGATATTACCCTCTACACCATTGTAGTTTTGTCGTCGGCATTTTCGGTTGGCTGATTCATATTGTTGCTGGTTCATGAAGAAGTACTGCTGGCTGGTTTGTGTGAGAGAAAAATACTGTTCCGGCTAGAAATTTATGATCGTTTACGACGAGCCATAGCGAAACGAACAGGCTGTTGCCTCCATAGCTCCACGTACCAGCACCACTCTGTGCCACGCACAGTACAGTGGTGGTTGGTGCCGGTGCACATATCGTGTGGATGCCAACATGCGTAGGTTCTGCACACAAATGCCTTCTTTTCTTGTTTCAGGGTTGCGTGGAATGTAAGCACTGACTTTGGAGCGAATCTGAAGCCCGCAGCTCTCTTTCTCTCTCTTATTATTATCATCTTTTTTATTTTCCAAAAAGAATTTTGTGCTGGTGGGGTGGACTGCTTTGTTTCTTTATGACTGTATACATATCATCATCAAGCGATCGATGATGATCATTCATTTCAAGCATCATCAAAATATGACGGTACATATCATCTAAATATACCGAATCCTTCATTTTTACTGAAAATTATGTGTTCCCTTCATTGCCATCCAAATCTATACTGACATAAGGGATAAAAGAATAGAATCCATGGTATTGAAAGGAAACTCATAATTTTCAATGGTAATAAAGGAATCAGATTTGGATGGCAAGGAAGGAATTTTCTTTTTCACAAAGCAGCTTCTTGGTAAAACAATGCATCTCAATCTTGCTAACGATTTTTTTAAAACATTGCTTACATGCTGAGTTGAATAATAAATGAACTATTATGTTGTGACTATACAGCTTAAACGATGTTAATTGTGTTGACCACACGTTGAAACAGGATAAATGAATGTGAGTTTTTTTTCCGGGAGTCACACTAAATTATAATATATTTCTAGATTTTTTATTTAGCGAGTAATATTTTTGTTTGAAGTTATATTTTTTTATTGAGTAAAAAAATTTATTGAGCGATCCTTTTTTTTTCCAATCTAGCCTATAGCTTTTTATTTTATTGAGAAACATTCTCGCCATAGCCTATATTTTGTTTATGAAGCTTCAACTTTTCTAATTGAGCAGAATATCAAAAGTGCCAACTGCTTAGCACATGTGGAGATGGATTTAAGTTATACTATTTTATTCTTGTACATGTGGAGATGGATTTTTTTTATATGCCAATTATATGTATAATAATTGTTATTGAAAGAAGAAAATGAAGAACTTTTAAATTCATCCAGAGCAAACAAAAATATTGTGTACATGATCAAGGCATGTAATGTGATATGCAATATAAGGAATATTGTATTGTCAAGCCGTATATGAGAAATTGGCATGGTAGCTTAACTATACATGGTATATAGGTGACACTTGAGTTGCACACGTTATCCGATCTTCAAGTTCGAATGCCTAGTGCCTCAACGGTTCTCCAAGTCCTTTATGTATGTTAACAATGCGGACCCAGCACTCATATAGAACCCGGGCAATGCTTAAGACGGTCAATGAGGTCATACATAGTGAAGCTTTGGACAAATGGTGATACGATGAAGGTCTCATTATGCACCGGAGCCCGAGTAAGCACCCAAGGTTCTCGGGCCCTGGGTCAACCACTGTATGTCAATATTAATATCATAACATGATTTCCTGCAATGTTTGCTATATGCTTTATAAAAGTATATTCTGTAATGTTTAACATTGAGGTTAAAGGTCCTTCTGGAAGGTATGTAGTCATTTCACAAGAATCAAAAAATTTTACAGAAAAACACAAAAAAAGAGAGAAAAAACGCATTCCAAAGGAGCCTAAATCGTTAGTTCTGATTTTTAGAATCTATTTCTATAAATAGTCTGAACAGATATAATCATTATATTATTTAATTGTTTTTTTATGAAAAAGTGAAATAACTATGTAGTACTCCCTCCATCCTCAAGTTTAGTATATATACCATGTTTTAGTATATCAAGTTTAACTAATTATAAATAAAAAAATATAAATATTTATAATATCAAATAAATATTATTAAATTAATTATAAAATATATTATATAATAATTTTATTTAGAGCTATAAATATAAATATTATTTACTAGAAATTTAGTCAAAACCGTAACGCATCCTTTTTGAGGACAGATGTAGTATATAGGAGCATTATTTAATAATTATAAAATTCGTTAACTCGAGTCGGAGTGGTGGAGCACCCGGTCACGCCGCCGCCACCCCCCTATAAATCCGCCCAACCCGAGTAGAAACCCAAGAAAAGAAGAAACTCGAAAGAATTTATTTGGCGTTCTTCGGCTTCGTTCTCACGCAGTTCGAGTTCGGCGCCGTCTAGTCCCCAGACCTCTAGCGCGAGGGAGGAAGAGGCGAGGAGAAGATGCAGATCTTCGTGAAGACCCTGACGGGGAAGACCATCACCCTCGAGGTGGAGAGCAGCGACACCATCGACAACGTCAAGGCCAAAATCCAGGTGCGTGCCCCCCATCCTGGTTCTTGTTGCTACCGGCGAGTTGTTTTGACCTATCTATATGCGACGAGTCGAGGGCTGGATCGATCCAAGTTTGCCCTAATTGTTGTGATGTTCATCCGATGTTACTTGAATTGATCCGGTCAGATTAATGTGGAGGTTTAGTTTTGGGATTATATATATTTAGATAGTTTGGATTGCTAGGCTGAGCAAATATAGCATATCTGGAAGGTTGTGTTTTTGACTGCTTGAGCAAACGAAGCATTATATTATGTCCAGTACCATGTGTATTTTTGTTGTTTCAAATACAATTGCGCCTAAATGGGATCATATCTTCATATTTCTTTCACAATACAACTGAAGCACACTAGAGTTGCAGCAATTATGCTAGGCTCCTTTAAAAGTAGGTTCATTCAATAGAATTTGATACAGCTTGTATATAATATAAAAAATTCAGTTCCTTGTACTCGCAGCAATACTTATTAAATCCATTATGATGCGAAGAAGAATATATTCTCTTGTTTTTATTGCTATATATATTGTACTTTTTAAGTTAATCTTCTAAAAAGAATAGATGCTTCCACTAATTCCATACATATCTGTGCATGGTGTGCTAGATAGAATGCTCATCTTAGATTTTGCCTATTATAGAGTTCAATGATTTAAAAAATTAAGGGCCAAGTGTTTGTGTTTTGTTAGGCATCCTTTATTTTATTCCCCTAGAAATTCTCTCTGTTGTTTTGCTCTCCCCAAGTTATCTCCTTTTTTAAGTAGTCTATGTATAGTGCATTCTTATAATTTCTTATTTTGAAAAGTTTATGTGCAACCTTGGACTATGACAAATAGGTCATTGGTTTGTAAAACTTTTCCTACCATGACCTGGATCATGCTTTGGAGATATCATCATTATGTTCTGTTATTTAGTGGTCACTACATCTTGCAATTTGGATACTAAATAGTTGACATGTTATTTTTTTCATTGTCACAGGACAAGGAAGGGATTCCCCCAGATCAACAGCGACTGATATTCGCTGGCAAGCAGCTGGAGGATGGACGCACGCTGGCTGACTACAACATCCAAAAGGAATCAACTCTTCATTTGGTCCTCAGGCTTAGGGGTGGAACCATGATCAAGGTCAAAACTCTCACTGGGAAAGAGATCGAGATCGACATTGAACCCACTGACACGATTGACAGGATCAAGGAGCGTGTTGAAGAGAAAGAAGGCATTCCTCCCGTGCAGCAAAGGTACCATGCAGATTTTGGTTATATCCACAAGTGCTACTATTTGTTCTTCAAAATGCTTATTCTACTTGAAACCAATTATGCTTTCCCGACATCTGATGCTGATGAAGCGATTTTTGGCACCTTTGCAGGCTCATCTATGCTGGTAAGCAGCTTGCTGATGATAAGACCGCAAAGGACTACAACATCGAGGGTGGTTCTGTCCTCCATCTTGTCCTTGCTCTGAGGGGTGGTTACTAGTCTAAACCTGATGAAGTAGCAGTCAGATAAACTGTTATGTTGGCTGCGAATTGTGCAGGCCTGGTGATGTGGAACTTGCAAGGAGATAATAACATATATCAGCTTTGTGCCTGTGCCCAGTGGAAGGGGTTGTCTTCCATGTTATTATCTGATATCTGATTCAACGGAATGGTTCCAGATTTATCTGTCTTGGCTTTTACCCACTGTTATTATTTGAATCTTGTTGCTGTGTTCATCAGTTTTCATACCATGGGTGTGGTTGCATCCGCTAGTACTAAATACGGAAAAATGATTAACATGAATCTCGTTCTTTTTTATATAATTATATGTATTGTAGTTCCCCGCTTATTATTACCTGTGTAGATAAAAGCAGATCCAGATTTGTTTAGCCGTTATACAACCAAAGAGAATGTGATCAGTCCCCGCACACTGTCTGAACATTCTGTGGCTATCAATTCCAGATTCACTTGTCTCATCTTTTGTACTGTTACTATCTCTCTTTTTTTTGAAGATAAGATTGATTGATTCGTGATGGCAGTATTGCGTGATGTGATCCTCTTACGAAGTCTAGTGATCTGATAAGGGTTTGTGTTGATTTTTCTTTTTACTTTTGCCACAGAAACATTTTCAAGAACGCAGGCCCTGGATTTGCTCCCAGTTGAAATTACACTACAGTAAAAGCTACAGCATGGATGATCACATAGAGAACAGCAGATTGAACTGCTTACAAA